ACCATGGCCCAGACACATCTGATGATGGGCACAGTGTTCCCTCAGGACTTCACACTTACTTCCCTGAACTACTCATCACATGGAGATTCTCAACCATCAACCTGGTCGTTATCCTCTAGACATGTTATCATGATTTTTTCTGGCCTTTAGATAGACCTAATTCTAAGATTTTTCATTACAGTTAAGGCTAAAGTTGACTCTGCATATGGGTCAGTATTAAAATGAAAGCACAAAGCCACTAAGATGATCCCCAAGTATAATATATTTTCTCAATGATTAGGTTCAGAATTTTAACAGTGATGGAGAAATGCAAGTTAGAAGAAAGGAAGAAATGTGCAAAAAAATTTGAAGAAATGTGCTTGATCTTCAACACAAACATAAAAATAATGATATTAAATAAACTATGGAAATAGTTATATAGTTCTTAGGTTTTAGATACAATCTTCAATCTCTACTCATCTGGCCAGATAAAGAATTTTTATTTCATTGTCTTAGGTGCTAAGCAATTCTGCTAAGAACCTCCCAGCAAATCAATACTATTCGGGGGAAAAAAAGTCATTCATCAAGTTCCTAATTCTAATCCATTACTTCATGAGCATAAAAGATATGAGTGGCATGATTAAAAATCAGCAGGGTCTCCTAAGTGTCCTCTAGAAGCCAAGTCAAGGCTGGGCTTTCCAGATCAAATATACTTTCAATTCTGATAAGATTAGAAGACCATCATTTGAGCAAAGTGAGAAAGGCAACAGGTGCATATCAAGAGCCTGTGACTCCAGTACCATTTCCTGTTCCAAACATAGGAGTGTCATGTGTACTCAGCACATCAAAAAGATATCTACAAACTTCTTTTATTTTTTGACAAAGCAATTATGAATTTTTTGCTAGTTATTTGCTAATATTGTTAAGCATGCCATTCTAACCCATATATTTTAGGACTACACAAATAGTTTGTCAATTAAGTTTCCATATTTAGGAATTACAGTATGTGATGTGCACATTTATTAAAAGGAAACACAGTTAAAAGTAAAAACCATTAAAGTCCATTGTTAAAACATATAATGTAGTTAATGAGTATCTGAGGTCTCAAAGGAATCAGGTTAAAAACTATACTAGAGGCCCCCAGAGGTAGGGCCCCCAGTGCATGGGGAGCCTCAGGCGGGGAGCGCTGTTATGCGCCAGCCCTTAGGCTGGCCCCCCCCCCCCGGCTCAATTGAGATCTATCATGACACAGAGAAACAATGACACAATTGGCCCACCATGCACCAACTGCAGTTGCCCACCCACGGATGTGTGTGAATCATTCAAACTTTGAACAACCCCTGGGAATACATGCCATACAATGGGCCACTCTTGCTTCTGTCATTGAGAACCGGAAAGGTCCAGAGCCAGCAGAGGAGCAGCTGCTGAACAAGGACTCAGAGAACATGAGAATGCAGACTAAGCCCATGGAGTCAGAGGTCCAGTGGACTGGGGTCACGAGAGCCGCTTGGAAGCTGTAAACCAGGAGGACCTTGCACAGTACCTGCAGAGACTCCCTGGAAGCCATTCTTCCCCTGACAGTACAGGCTGTGGTGGAGCTCCAGAGAAGTCTGCAGCAGGATTCCTGCTGCCTGTGCTGACAGTTGGGGAGAGGACACTAACTGATTGTGGGGTCCCAATGCGATGGGAGGCTGGAGAGAAAACGCTACAAAAAATGGCTTTCGCCCCAGATGACTCACTTGATTTTTGACAACTCCTTGGCTCTAACTACTTGTTAGATCCTTCTTGTGTATCTCTGTCTTCCTGAGAAACCACTTTAAAGATACCACCATGTATTACAGCAGTCATTGATATTTTCCCACTAATCTGTCCATAACTCTGTAATGTTTGTATTATTCCTATCCTATTTCATAAATGGATCCATGTTTATTATTATGTGTTTCCTACAACAACCATTGAAATTTATTAAATGATTATTCAGTAGGTCACTCATGTATAGTTCTATTTATATTCTTTAGAAGCCACTTTGAAGATACCTAAGTATAGTACAACAGCTATTGATAATCTCCTACCTCTTTTGTCTGTAACTCACTATTATTTGTCTATTTGTTTTCCTGAGATACTATCTTATATATAACAATATGTAAAACAATAACCATTGATAATTTCCTACCACTTTGTCTGTAATTCGGTAAGCCCTTCCTATTATTATGTTATCCTTCTTTTACTCTTTAAAATAAAAAAAAATCTATACTAGTTATGCATCTCACTAATCTTTTGAAATTAAATTTTAAATGTTATTATTTCCTCCAGGAACAGATACAAGAGATTTTCCATTATTTGAATAGTAGAAGAAGCTAACTAGTATAATAGATGATCCAAACTAATACAATATAATAAAAGTGTGTGAGACCTCATAATTATTTTCTACATTTTCTTTTCTTTTGCTTATTAAATTAGGTTACAGGTCCCACGCACACACCAAGTGTCAGCAGGAAGCACTGGTCTGAAAGTACAATTATAAAGCTAAGTATAATAATAATTGTAATAATAAAATAGGTAAATCCCCAAAGGACACTTGAAAACTGGCTACAAATTATTACTCATTGTAAGAGAAAATGGAAAGCTCTCCTACTAGCAAATTTGTCAGAATGAACCAAATCATAAGAAAAACAAATTCACCTAAAAGAGCTCTGAAAGTTATAAGCAACTTCACTAAAATTTTGTAAAATTGTAATTGATAATCAAGTAGAGATTGAATTATGATAAGGAGGATAATCAAAATGAATTTAAAGATTCCTGGAAGCTCAATGTACTCTCTTATTATTTTATTTATGGGCACATAAGAGTCTACAGAGAAATTAAGACAAAGTATTATAAGCAAAATTGTTCAAAAATAAGAAATAGAACTAGAATCCAGTGGCAGAAGCCTTTAGTAGTCTACCAAATTTTCTTTAATCCATACAGCATTTTACATTTTTTGCAATGTTAGCAAATATTAGAAATACTTTTTGTGCTATTTTATTAATACTTTTGTCTTTTTTAATTCACCATTTTGTACATTTGTTGGCATTTATTTTCTTGTTAGAGATGAACAATGTTTCAAGACTTTTGTATCATTCAATCCTCACATTAATTTTGCAAAATGTAACTAGTATTGCCATTTTACAGATGAGGAAGCCACGACACATGGTTCCATTAGCTGCTTCCTTAACTAATGTAGTGAGTTGAAAGGTAGACCCCAAAGAGATATGTCCACATCCTAATCCCTAGAACCTGTGAATATGACCTTATTTGGCAGACAGGGTTTTGTAGATGTAATTAAGGACCCTGAGATGCAGATATGCTCCTGAGTTATCTGTGTGGGCCCTAAATCCAACGACAATGGTCCTCACAAAACACCAAAGTGGAAACACGTAGGGGTAGACCATTTGAAGACAGAGACAGACATTGAAGTGATGTGATCACAAGTTAAGCAATTGAAACCACCAGAAGACAGCAAAGAATAAACATGAACTCTCCCCGGAAGCCCTGGGAGAGTACAAAGCCCTGTCAGACTTTGAACTTCCAGCTTCCAAAACAATAGGACAACAATTTCGGTTACATAAGACACCCAACTTGTAGTAATTTGTTATGGCTGTCCTAGAAAACTAACACAACCCCCATACACTATTGCCACTGTCAAGAATATAAAGGGTAACTTTAGGACTACCCCCTATTTTAACTCCTGAGACAGCCCTAAGTGGGCTTCTATCTCTGTAGCATGAAAGGATTTTCTGCAATGGATTTCTTACTCGGCACATTTCCCTGAATGCTGTGCCTGCTGATAGTTCTTTACTCACTTTTATAATTCAGAATCTATGGTTTTATTCTACCTTGAAGCAATGACAATCCAGTCTTCCTGCTGTTAAAATAATAAATGCCTTCTCCCCTATTCCCAGCCTATTTCACACACTAATTAAATTAGTTCAAATAATATGGAACCTATTTCCAGATGAGAATACAATTCAATATAACATTACTGTTCAGAAAATTTCCTAACATTTTAATCCAGAAAATAATTAAAGTTATATGGGAATATGCATTTAACATGTGCTTATAATAAAATAAAGAATATGCATTTAAAATATACATATAGTGTTTCAAATATCCCATGAAATGCTTTTGATTGATTTATTCTTATTAAGCATTACTTCTAATCCTATTAGATATTGTGTTGCATCGACTGTTTTGTCCATCCACATCTACTCTTTAATCTCCTCAGCCTGCCCTGGGTTCCAGTGTTACGGGGAAAACCATTCAGAATCTCACTCATACTTGATTTAGTTGGTTAAGATTTAGGAAGTTAAAGCCATTGAGATTCTGGATCTCACCCACTGAACTTACACAAATTGTAGGACTTTCTTGTGCTCTGGTTGTGGGTGATTTCAGTTGGAGGGAGACACTGGCAGACAGGAGGGCAGGGGAAAAATGAGGGCAGAAATTTGATCTCTACCCATTCCTATACTTCGGAATTGAAGGGTAGCCAGTGGCTGTATCCTCTGCTCAGCATCATGGGACCTGGTTTGTTGGAGACCCTTCATCCATGCCTGCAATTCCCCCAGTACAGCCGGGCTTTTTGCCCTTCAAGCCTTGGATGGTCAAACTGCATCTCCCTGTACTAAGACTCTGCGGCTTCTCATCAATTATTTGTTTTCTTTACCTGCCCACACCTTCAGAAATAGTCCCTTCAGTAAACTCTTCCAACTACCCCTTGAGTGTGCTGAATATCTTCTGCTAGACTTCCACTGAAACAGCAACTGCATATCATTCAGAGACCATCAACCTAATATACTGAATAATTTATCCCTATGAATAAAATCATTCCACCTTTTCTGAATACTTCTAGTTTTAAAGAGTTACAACTAGTTATGAATGATATGAGTCTTTTTTTTCATCCAATACCAACAAAAATGAAAAATGACATTTGTCCCCAGAATCCAAATGGATTCCTATCACAGAATGATTTTGGTTCCAAATACCTGTCATCACCATCAATGACGCACTCAGGAAAGGCAAGACTACAGCCAAATAGCATGATATATTTATAGCAACTGAGGCGGTGGAGGTAGGTGAAGAACTTGAGGAACTTCTCTGTTTCTATGTTTTCAATGGATGAGATTAGAGATGCTAGTGTGGTGTGGTAGGGCAGCATCTGACACTGGCTGTGGGTGATGTTCATACAGGCACCTGGGAAGTAAAGACAATGACATTTAGAAGTAGACACATCAGAAATATGTTTGCAGACTCATTGGATATAACAGCTTAATATATTGATGCGAAAAAATATATTCTGTAAATAATGTTTATAGAAAAAATTAATACAAACACAAACATATAAGTATGAGTATATGTGTGTGTGCATAAAATGACACCAACCCACTAATATTTACAGAGGTAAATCACTTGTGTTCTGGGCAAATGTGTAGAAAAATACACATTTTCATACATAGTGCTTGAGATCATAGCTGGGCAGGATCATATGGTATCAAAAAATTTTAAACACACATATGCTTCCACACTACAATATCACTTTTAGAAATTTATCCTAAGGAAATAATCATGACTGTGAAAATAGATTTATCTACAGAGATTTCCATTTCTGCAGTTTACTATTTTTCAGAGACATAAAATCTATCTGAACGGTGAATAAAGGAGATTAGTTTGAAACATTAGGAAGCAAACAACAGAATATTTAATTCAAGTGTGTAAGAGATGGTTTAGAAGACTTTAATCAAATGAAGTGATGCTCATCATAAAGAGAAATAGCAAGTCATAAAACAACCTGTACCCCATGCTTTTTTTTTGAAAACACATAATTATGCAAGGATTTGTAATGCTGTTTATCTCAGAGTTCAATATCACTTACACCCTCAGATTTTATTTCCTGTCATAGCTGGTTCTTCTAGACACTACCACACCCATGGCCTTTCCAACTCTTTCATCCCAGAAACTTCTCTGGGTGGTTAGATATAAATAAAAATGCTGACATGGATCCCTATAATGGGGGTGTTAGGAGATTATTATAGTTTTCTTTTTATTTTACATTGGAGGGGTTGGTTTATATAAAGATTTGTTACTTTTATTAAAAAGGAGAAACTCAAAAGTTTGATATTGTTGTTCATACAAACTATGGTTTAAAACTAAAATCTTTGGCCTTTAGAAATGCAGCAGAATTTGTTCTGCTTTTAGGGAGGAAAGATTACAAGGGAAAGGGAACATCACTTCTGCTTGCTATATAATTCCCAGATAAATGAAGGGGATATCTCTCCAAACATGAGACTAACTCCATTTTAATAAAAGATGTTAAAAAATAACAGCATTTATTCCACTTACATCACTTTCACATGGCTAGACTAACACTTTACCTGTCACACAGAATAAATACACTGTCTAGTGACTGCTTCATTCATCCTGACAGATCACTTCAGAGTCTTCTGTAGGTCTCCTTCCAAACTCATTTCGAATCTCACTTTTCTTTCACACTTCTCTGAAAACCCGCAAGCCCCACAGGAATCATGTCTCCCAAATGACCAGATTATGAACAAAAAAATACACTTCCCTATTGTTAGATCATTGATGGCTCAAAATGTGCTAAGCTTAGAGGGTCAAAATAAGGTTTGCACTTTCAAGGCAACCAACAACACATGGAATTTCTCTATATATCAGATCTTAGAATACACTGAGCAAAGAATTTCAGGACACAATACTATGTCACTGTAGTTCTCCAGATTCACAATACAAAATGAGAAACAAGGACATTAAGGAGGCAAAATTAAATAAAAATATGGAAGCAGAACACAAATAGACGCACACATAGATTCAGCTTCCCGTAAGTGCTGAGGTGAAATGTTCTGGGCAGGTTTCAAGAAGACAGCGTTCAAGTTACTTAGTGAGGGAAAGTAAAACACATCTCCATGGGGAAGAACCTTTCAAGCGGGGAGAAGGGACAGACAGCAGACTGTACCACAGTCATGTGTATCGTGCTCCAAGCAGAGAGGTTTGCTCATAAAAGCTGAGAAAGAGAAAACATTTCTCTATCAAAAATGAAAGCATCTGCAGAAAATTCAGACTCAGGAAGACATGTACTCAGAACTGACCTTACCCTGGGAAGATGCTCTCATTCACAAGAATCTCACTGGGAAAACCAGTGATGTCGGATCTGTATGATACATGAGGAAACTCCACTGTAGATGGTTACAAAACCTGCGTCAGGGTACACAGGTGTTACAGGCACATTCTAAACCTGAGACCTACATCCCTAGGTAACTTCATCTGGAGGCAACTTCGCTAATGCAAAGAGGGTTCTTATGTGAAAAAGTTCTTAAATGAGGTAATTCCTAATGGCCCATGAAAGGGAGACACTAAAAAACTTATAATATCATAAGACCTGTATATTAGTCTCTATTGCTAGTAACACAATACCACAAACTGAATATATTATAAAGAAAGAGGTTGATTTTAGCTCATGGTTCTGGGAGTCAAGGCTGAGGGACTGCATCAGCTGCTGGGGACTCTTTGGCGTCCTAAGGCAGCATGGCGCCTCACACAGCAAACCCCATCAAGCTGGCTAGCTCTTGCCTCTCTTCCTCTTCTTACACAGCCACTGACTGCCTTCTGGAGACCTCATCCCCATGACCTCGTTTAAACTGAGTTGCTTCCCAAAGACCCTCACAAACTCCAAATGCCATTTCCATACAAGTTTGAGGAGTCATTTTCCAATACAAGAAACTTGAGTGGTCACTTTCAAATCACAGCAGTCTGTATATATATTAACATATAATACATATATGCTCATATATGCTCATCACATTTCATAATTAGCTCTAATTATATTATTTCTTAGAAATTATCAGCTCATTTAGATGACCTAAAGCTCATTCTCCCTACCTAGTCGAAGAAAACATTGGTTATTGACAGATATGTGAAAAACACAAGATAGAAAGAAAAATCATATTTTGGTTGACGATACCACATTCATGGCAGAGTGAGCTGTACAAAAAAAAAGATATTTCTCTCTGATGCCTATTTCCTTGGGAAAAGAAAACTGATGCTTGGGGAATGATGGAACTGTAACATGCAATCTTAATAGTAAGTCTCAAAATAATTAGTATAGATACAAATAATAACATCATAAGTTTATGATGGCTTCTCAAAGCACTGTCAAATTATAAAATTCAATCCTACTAATATAACACATATTTTCCCATTATAAATGAAAAGCTAAGGATCTCAAAAATATGCAGGCAGACAGAAAGATGATGGAAGGACAAACGGATGGATGAATAGGTAGGTAAATAGACAAAAATGTGATTTAAAGAAAAACACCAGTCCAGTAACAAATATGGAACTGGCACTCCAGCCCTCTGCCTCTGAGGGCAGCACTCTTCTCACTGCACCACAGCGGCCAACAACCACCGAAGAAATCACAAGGAGCAAGAACTTAAAATGTAGCGAATGATGAGGGAAGACGTAGGGAAAAGAAAGAATTCATTTTGATGCTTGAAAGACATAAGACTTGATGGGCAGAAGGCATATAAGAGGTTACTAGTGGCCGAGAAAAATAAAAACACAACGACTGAGATTCATATAATTACATACTACAAAAAAAAGACTGCAAGATAAGTCCAGGAAGAAAAAGTCACAAGACTTAGCTAAGAATTTGCTCATAGCCAACAAATATAAAAAGGAATTACTTTCTAAGGCTTCGACTTCAAGCCTTTCATATCAGGTAATTGTGTCAATTTCCTCCTATCCCTCCTGCTTGAACATGTGGTCAAATATTATTTTTTCACAGAAGACTCTATTGTCTTTGAGACATGTAATTCTAGTACTGTACTGTATACATTCTCCCCACAAAAAATGAGTTTTCATAAGCCACCTGCATGCTGTGCCTCCTGAAAAGCCACTTCTCTGCAGAAGAGAGGAAGGGCATTGCAAAAAAACAGCTCCTAACTGTTGCTTCTGCACTGAATTTCATTTCCATAGGTGGAAGAAGAGAGTAAGTGAAGGTGTTTTTCTTCCCTGAGAACATACTACAGTGCCTAACAGAAATTAGAGGCCAGGGTTGGTATTCAAAACACAGTGGCTATAATTAACCACAGTTGTCGTTATAGACATCATTATTTAATTCATATGCTTTCTCTTTAAAGAACATTTACTTCAAGTGGGGATATAAAGAGTAGAATCTAAAAACAGACCTGAAAAACAAAATTGCCTCCTGATGTAAAGTACTTCTGGTAAAACAGAAATATTTGTTCTTACAAGTGCCTCAATTCTAAAATACCATTGCCAGTAAGTCATGACTTAATAACAATTTTCAGAATATGCACTGATTATAAGACAGGGCTTAATCTGAGAAAAAAATTAAAAATATAAAAGTGCTGCTGAGAGTTGTGTTAGTGATTTGATTTGTTATGTTTTGTTTTGTTTTTGTAACCTGACTCAATAGTTTTCCAGATCAAATTGAAACTTAGCCACTCATATCTCATTGTTAATCTTTTTAGATGCACTAAGAAGGATAGAGGGGATTCTCGTGGGAATTTGCCTGGTGTCCATGCAGAAATTATGGTAAATTCTATCTTAATGCTTTAGGGGCTAGGAGATGTACTATTATAAATTCTTACTTTTTAAATATTTGATTACAAATAAATGTAGGCTCAAAGGTCCTAGGTGAGTAATGTTAAAATAACAATCCCCATAAATAATCCTTTTGATTGGATTAAGGTGGAAAAAGTGTAGTTTCACTTATTGAACATTTCTGCATTTAGTCCTTTACACTAATGATTTTGTCACTTTATTTTCTGTTATTCTTAATTATATATATGATCTCATTTTCAATTAGTATAGTAAGTATATTTGAGTTTTATTTTCATGGACTTATTTCAACAATGAATTGTTTTTAAAAAGAATCTTAAAATCAAATAATAATTACCTTTTATAATAAATGCAAGATGTAACTTAACATCAGTGACTAAAATGCATTATTTGCCAGGAAATATCTCAAATTAAAAATAATGAAAAGTCAACTCTCCAAAATACTTTGCCACTTTTTGTCTAACATCTAATAGGAAACCTTGTTAATCTTTCTGATTCCCTTTACAGTTGCACTCATAACACAAGGGCTACTTGTACCGATTCCATTGCACAGGCAGGGAATATTTTTTCAAATCCTAATTGGTATGCTCTAA